AAGCTGAAGTCATCGTCTAAGTCAACAAGATTTGATCTCTCTGACCAGAAGTTGTGGGTGGGGTGTTCCTACCATGACCTATAAGAAGAAATATTTCTTTTACATGGGTGCTTTCAGGTTTCGGGGGCTGTAATTGGTTGTGAAAAGGATTCTCACAGGTCTTACCAGAAACAGGTCAGTTACCCATTTTAACTTCACTTCACTTTTAACCTTTGACTTTGGATATTATTTTCTCAAATAAACTATAATTGTTATCGAGTCAAAGGTGACAATTTCAGGTGTCTTTTTGTTATCTGACCAACAGTCCAATTTTGAATTAATGTTCACAATGTAGACGTGAATATAACTGCCTGTATAATTCTTTGTTTTACAAATATTCAATCATATAATCTAAAAACAGAACAAAGAAAAAGACAAATGTCCATCTAAAGTTACCAGATTGTTGGTCAGCAAGCAATTTGAGGGCATCAGTTTGGGCTAATCATTATTTATCATAATTGTTAATAATCAAACTCTAATTTTTAGACTAATGGATTTATCAGTTAATTGCAAACATCAACAGATTAAATGATGTTAACAGAATCATCTAATCATTATGTGTAATTGATTGAGTAAAATTTTAAAAGAAGGTCCAAAGAAAAACGATGGTATAATAGGACACTGATGAGTGTAAACTCACTCACACACACACACAGATACAGTACACCATTACTGAAGAAGAGGCCGTACTGTCCAGTTACTACCCTGATTATATTTCCACCCTACGAGCCCCACATCAGTAGTAGACATCAGAGATTTCATCCAGCTCCTGTTGGAAAGCTTACTGCTGCCCCCAGAGCCTGCGGTCTACCCACCAACAGTCGTAAAGAGACGGGAGGGACCCAGGAGTCCCAGTCCTTTCAGTCTTTAAGGACTCTAAATGGTCTCTTAAAGGGAGGGTTTAAACGGCCTGCGATGTTTGGGCTGGGAACACTGTACCGTTACACCCACAGCCTGTCTGCTCGGCTTCTCCTTGCTCTCCATCACAGGGACAGAGGAGGCGTTTACATGTTTTAACAGGCTCGGCTTTACCTTCCCCCTGACACAAGATGGCTGACAAGTGAAGCTTCTGGGGTCAAAGGTTGGAGCCCCAGCGTTTGGTTATTAAAGGGGTTTTCCAGGTTTCTGGAGGAGAGTGTGTGAAATGTGGTTTGTAATGGAAGCAGAGAGGTCAGAGGTGAAGGTGTGGTGCTTTCTTAGTAAGTGATATCATATTTTAAAGACAATGAAAATAACACGAAAATATAAGAAAAAAGTTAATACAGTCTATAAAATTTAAAATGAGAAATAAGAAAAATGATTGTTTGTTGCTAGCATGTCTGTAGTTTTCTCAATTATAATAATATTAAAATGGGTTCAGAAGGTACAGTAATAACATACAAATACACAATTTGCTGTACATGATACAATTAATTTAGACATTACACATTTCTGGCCAAAAAAAGTGTGACAGAAATTTCCACTGAAGTAAAATTTTTGAAACAGCAACCTGGGTTGTGAAATAAAACGGAATCCTATCTGAGCAGAAATACAGTACAGACAGCTCTTTCTGCAAAATATGGAAGGAACATTTCAACATACTTCCTGTGACTCCATAATGTCCACATATTTCCTTCTACAAAATATTTGCTTTACTCCATAAAAGGGCATCAGGCTCTTATTGCCTTTTTTATTTTATTCAACTTCAACCTTTATTGTATGATCATATGAATATTTTTTTTATACTATACTATACACCCTCTAGTCTTACCGAACTACCATACAGTCTGTAATGGAGCGTGCTAACTTCATCAGAGGGAGGTGGTGGGCAGCAGCGACCCCACATGACCCCATAGCTCAACTCAGCTCCATTTATCCCGGCTTCAACCGGCCATGATGTCCCTTCTCTGTCTTCCTTTCTCTCCACTACTGCCACTCTTGTGCATTTTATATCTAATACTACACTGGAGTACTGTTTTTGAGTGTGTAAGCGTGTTCAGTATTTTGGTCATAGTTTGTGATGTTGTTTGTTATATCCTCCTCTGTACATGCTCTTTTAAGAAATAGTATGAACATTCACATACGATTATAGTGACCAGGATTATCACGGTTATCATTATTACTGTGGTATTGTTAAAATGTGCTGAAAATGTTCAAAACAATACTGATGCACGCCTGAACTGAGCTTTTTGTTTGCATAAAATAACAACATAGCCAATACCTCATGTAAACATGTGAAAACCTTATCATTTGTGCATTACATTAACATTAATTCACTCACACACTCGCTGATCCCATGCACAATTTACATAAATATAAATAAGTCTTAAGAAGACTATTAGTTGCAACACTTTTATAACCAATTTGACAACTGCTGGATTCAAAAGCTTCAGTTTACATTAATGACAAGCTATTTAGTTAGATAAATAATGACATTTTCCCCGATTCCAAAGTTCAAAGAGATTAAAGTTAGCTTAACGTTACCTTGCATTCGCTATGAAGCTGTGTGTGGTGGTCACAAAGATGGTTCATAAGATCTATCTATCTATCTCGATCCAGTTGTCCTCAGCACTCCAAAGTGCAACCACACTTCAGACTTGTTACTGCCTTCCGCCAAAACAAACCCATGTTGCCTGCTGTGCCTGCGTCTGGGTATCTCAGTAACTGTTTCCTTCCAATTCGTACTACAGTATGTAGGTTGACAGCTCTCTTTGAGAGGGACCAGCAGTTAGCCTGCTGGTCCCTCAGCGAGACAAGCGAGTTTGATGAGTCTGTTTGTTGATACTGCCTGACTGTCTATTCAGTTTCTACTAGAGTGGACAGACAGATCCCAGAGGCCAGAAAACAAAGACATATGCATAAACAGAGCGAGAAAAATGAGAGGTAAGCCTGTAAGAATTCACTGGCTCATGAAAGGCAGAGGGAATTTGATTGTTATTGCTGGCAATGCCTTCAGCATGTATAGCTATAATCAGCATTATGTCTGGTGGTGAATGCAGAAATACAGGCCTTTGTGCTGCTGTGTATTGTGTCTGCATGCATGCACAGCGTCTGTGTTTCAGTTTTGTGGAAATATTTGTTCGTTGATGCGTGTGCACGTGCCTTCGTGTGGAGGTGAGCGCATGTTTGTGTATTTACAGTGCGATGTTGCGTGCCGCTCACATGTGTGGCAGCCGATTCAACAACAGAGCAGAGAGTAGAGGCGGAGGAATGAGAGCGAAAAGCGAATGCTGCTCAGCGGGCTGCAAATAACCGGCCCGAGGACATCAACGGGACTGGAATGGACTCAGACGGAGAGAGAGAGAGAGAACGAGGGAGAGGAAAGGGGTGGTGGGGAATGGGAGGAAAGGCACAAATGAGATGAGAGGAAGGAAAAGGGATGAAGGCAAGTGTTTAGGATGGAAGAGGAAAAAATAAAGAGTGAGAAACATGGACTGAGGGGGGGAGAAGAAGACTTATGAATCAGGAGCACTGCTGTCATTCTGATGTGTTAAATATTTGCTCAGGCCGCAATGGTGCTAGTCACACTATCACTCGGGAAAGACCAGGAGGTACTGACACATGTGCACGCTCACACACACAGACACAGACACACACACACGCACACACACATTGTTCTTTTATTCTATTTTCCCCTCCATCCAGATGTCCACTCAGCAAGGATCCAGATGGCCTGGATACCCTCCTTATAGTAGAGAGGTGCTTTTGACACACACACATACACACACAAAGCAGCATAGCCGTGTTTTTCTCCCTCTCAGAGGGAGGATTAACTCTCCTCATTAGGGCCTCCCCCGCCTCTCGCCATCGTCTTTCCTCCCCCTCCCTCCCCGTGTCAGCATGCCTCGACCGCCATTGGCTGCTTCTATCAAGGACCACCGCTGACTGGACCGCCGCGACTACAGGACACAGAAGAGCAGGGAGGAGGTGGGATGGGTTGATGTTGCCACGGTAATAGAGTAGGGCGACCACTCGCCAAATCATCGAGCCGGGGCTAAAATGGAAAAAAAAGAAAAACAGAAATGCGGTGCGGAAAGCGGGTTATAGGGTGAGGGACTGAAAGGAGGAGAGGAGGGGGAAAACAATAACAACAGCAGCGAGGGATTAGGCATCGACCGAGCAATCAGGAAGTCCATTTAGAACAAAGCGGCGTTAAAAATCCTCCCAGACTTTAGTTGTGATCGTCAGAGCTGAGCTGCCAGTCCGATTGGACAGCTGCTCAAGATCTGTAGGGGGAAAAAAACAGAAGCACACACACAAAGGAAGGATGAAATGAAACAGGTGAAAAATGAAAAAACAGCTCCTGCACGATCTCTCTTCTCTGGGCTGCTGCGATATTTCACTCCTGGCGATGAGAGAGAGGAGGTAGGCTGGCCAGGGTGATGAACTGGGGCACAGGAATAGAAACAGAGAGAGAGAGACAGAGAGAGAGAGAGAGAAGCATTGCTGGATATGAAGAGCATGCGTCAGCACTAAGGCAGGGCGAACAAGAGAGAGAGAGACAGTGACAGCAGAGATGAGAGAGGTGGAGGGTGAGGTGGAGCGAGAGAGAGATTGAGGGTAGAGGTGATTACCCTGGCGTGAGATGGGACGACAGAAATAGAGCCTGCCGGATTTGTCACCTCCAGTGCCACACCTTGGCTGCATCATCCCAACACTCCACCCTGACAGCAGCAGCAGCTTCTACACACAGGATTTCCTTATCTACGAGGACAATAAAAATCAATAATCCATCAGTTTCACACCTCGGATGATTCATGAAGATTCAAGATCCTCCTCAAGATTGACAAGGACACGCTGTACATCTGCTTAACAGAGCAGATTGTCTTCTGTTTCTCTACAGAAGAGGAAGAATCACTGCCGGCACACAGCAGTGCAAAAAAAGGACTATGTTCACTCTGCATCAAGAATTATTGTCTGCAGTTTGCCAGAGGAATGCATTAGTGAAATCTCCATAAAGATAAACACCTGTGTTTTTACAGACTGGTCAGACGGTGAACGCAGCCCTGTTATCACTGTGTCAACATGAGGAACTCATTGTCCGGCCATTTTCAAGGAAAGCTGATTCTACCTAAATGAAGACAGTGCAGGTGGGAGTATTGGAGGTCTACAGCAACAGCATAGTTTGTTAAATGATTACAAATATTGTGCTCAGCTATATGAAATAATGCAGCACTGCACTGTGAGTGACATGCAGAATACTGTCCTTGTCTTCCTAATGACAGCACAGACCTCGAAGCAGGGCTGACTGACCGACTGACTGACTGAGTGAGTGGGTTTGCCCGCTGACTGGAGCTGTGGCTATTTGAGGACTTTGAGGACACGTAGCCCTGGGCAGGTACGGGTCGGGAGCCACCATGGGGGAGACGGCAGAATACCAGAGGCTGCAGGACACGTCAGAGTCTGACTACCAACGCCTGCCCAGCGATGACGAAGAGGTAGACCTCCACAGTTTCCTTCATTATAGTAGTGATCATGCCACACAGCTACAGACAAACATGGATGACACGCACACAGTGGGCAGCACTGTCAGCAGGTATTATGGTTCCTGTTGAAGGAAAATTAAAGGGTGTGAGATGATGTAAGGCTTTGGAATTTCTCTCTGAAGAGAAAGGGAATTTTAGATTGCAATAGAAGCAGTCAGGTCAGGCCAATCAGTAAATTGTTGTTTTATATTATACATATCATACTAATATGTATCTTTTGTTGTAGAAAATGTGCATATATAGATCTCTTTGTGGGAGTAACGTAAGCAACAGTGTTGCACCTTTATCGTGTGTGCAGATGAGTGTTTTGGTGTGCTTGTTTGTGTCAGTACCCAAAATACAGAAGAACATTTAGGTTAACATTCAGGCAGGGTCAGGCATTTCCATGGCATTTTAGTGTTGTGGTTTTTTTTTTAGGTTGCGTGTTAATAGTGGTGTAATGGATAAGCACATGTGGCAGGCAGGGAAATGGAGAGAAATTTATTTTCTGTAATTTGTTTAGTCAATAATCGGTCAAAATACGTCTTTCTCACAGAGGACATTTTGACATTTCACAGTAAGAAAAGCACAAATGTAAATAATAAAATAAATGATGGCTGAATTGCATTTAGCTGCTTCGGTTTCAGGGTTCTGGTATTGTGTATGCTGACTCACTGTCATGACTTATACACATAACAGATCAGAGCCATTGTTATTGTTAGTAATACCTGTGCTACAAGTCAAAGCGTCTGCTGTGAAAAAGGCCTAATGTGTACATTTATTTCCGTATCTTGGATCTCTGTAAGCGCTCATTCATCTGTCGCACAGAAGCAGCTCTTTTACACTCGTATCTCACCATCACCCTCCTCACCACACACTCAGGCACACACAAGGCCAGCCCCTGTGTGTGCTGAGTTATTGACCATGAGGTCATTGATGAAGTGCTGCTGAATGAGCCCGGTGACAGGCAAAGTATGACATTTTATACCCTCCCACCTCTTCCGTAAACCCCCACGTCTTCTCTCAAACCATGTGATGTACTGACAAGGTTGACTGTTCTTTTGGCTTGGATGAGGCCGGCAGTACCAATGCCACTATGCTGTCAGTATTCTTCCCTTTTTAAATCTTTATTGGGTAGCATATGAAGGGAGGCAGATGGAAAATGTATGAGAGAGAAGGATGACATACAAAAAGTTTCCTGTCTGGATTGGAACAGTATTTTTTCTATAGAGTGATGTGGCCAGATGTTTTTGCCAGTATTAGGTTATTGCAGATATATCGTACCGGTGTATCTCTGCTGATGAGTAAAAAGAAAGAACTGACAAACTTAATATTTTAGAAAAATTTAGAAACAGTGCCACCGGTACATAGTTTGTCCAGTGAAGAGTGAGCGTATCTTTCAACTGTAAAATGTTCTGCTCAGTACAAATCTAAGGGATCCATGTCAAGAATTTGGTTAAGTTAAAACAATTGTTATATATACTGATACTATATCAGTATGAGCATTGGCCTCAACCTGGTCCAGGTTATAATGGAAAATGTTTCTTTTGTTTCCTGATTCCTAAATATGTTGAAGTGAAGATGGAATTACAGGTTGTGTGTGAGTGCGTTCATTCACTTTATGTACCCATTTAAAAAAAAGTACAACAATAATAACTTGTGTTTTGTTACATGTCCGATAATGATCTATGATTCCTATAGATTTTGGCTAGGTATTGTACCTCACTACATTTTGGTGCTGACTAGAGCCCAACTTATTTTTGAAACTGATACGGCGCAGATTTTAGAGATGGGAAATGATCAGTCAATTGCCGATATGGTGGATATCATGAATTTTTGCACTGGTACCTTTTTTTTTTTTTGGCTTGTGCACCGATTTTCGATATGACGATGTTAAGGTACTCAGAAAGGGAGCTTTCTTAAAGAAGTAATTTCATTAAAAAATATTTAAGTTAAATATTCTTAAACATGTTAAATAAAAACATGTAACATAACACTGATAACACCCATACCAATACGTCTGCTGTAGGCCAATATACGGTCGATGATGTCGGCCGACTGTTGAGCTCAAAATGTTTCCGTAACACTGGGAAACTGTCAAGCACCCAAAGCTGACATTGAATTCTTGCCTCAACTCATATTCTGTGATTGGACTGTTTGTAATGTACTTCAGAATCTCCCCAGTTTTAGGGTGTATTTTTTGTTTTATTCAGGCAAAGTTCTTGTAGGGCAGCTTATGTTTAAAGGACATCCCAGATTTGAGAAGTTTGACTTTTTCTGTTAATAGAACAAAGGGGGGGAGCTTTATATTCCCTCAGTGTACGTAAGGATAAAAACCGGTTGTACCGGTACCAAAACTTCGTACTGGCATCAGAAGATTTGAAACAACACCCAGCTCTGCTCTCATGGACTAGCCCTCCGTCACCCTGCGCAGGATAAGCGGATATAAAAAAAACGGACGGCTGGATGAATGTGTAGATCTGTGCAACAGTTTAAATATCATGAATGTGGACTGTGTGCGGCATTCAGGGTCTGTGTGCTAGTTCAGCAGAGTTAAGCCGGTGGACGCTGCAGCTGTCCTGGTTGTTGGGGGCTGAATCAGATCGCTCTCTTTCTACAGCTGCAGCTTTGTGCTGAATACAGCGGTTTTTCTAGTTTTAACACACTGCATACGGCCATCTCCATCAGAAACCGAGACAAAGAGAAAGATGTGTAATAACAGATGAACCGAGGCACTAAGAGGAGAAAGAGAGCAGTTATGGTAAAGGAGAATGGAGAGAGTGTTACAGTTTACATGTACACATTGTTTTACCATTTTATCCTTAATACAGATCTATTTCTCTTTGGAGCATGAGGGGATTAGTGAGCTTCAACCAGCACTACATTGTTGAGCTTCTGCTGTATTGCCTTTAAATGAGACCAATACATATTCTCAGTGGATCTCACTGTATCACACACTGTGCTCGATTTGTGGTTCACACACTGCTGACTGTCTGTAGGTCAATCATGGCACTTGACCGACATTTTTCACCAACACCCTCCTTTCCCCTCTTAACCAGCTTTAGGGGATCAAAGAAGAGATGGATCAGGATGGAGGCGACGTTAGGAAGTATTAGTGGGGGGTTGTTTTGGTGGTCTGGCATTATACATATTAGGCCAAGCTACCTAAAAGGGGACACATATGTTCTGTTTTTGCCTGGGAGCAGTCTGTTTGTATCCCAAACTTTTTTCATTCCCACAGTCGGTTCTTGTTAGCGTCGACGCCCACCGCCACACAACGCCTCTCCTCTCCTTACTCTGCGAATGATGAGGTGCGGCGGACGGTGAAGGGATTTAAGGAGAACGTAAAAGCCAGACTTTGGCAGAGGGGTTGCTATCTGTGAGATCAAGAATGACGCAGCTCTGTCTGTCTGTGCATGCAGGCCTCCGTCAGAGCCACCGTCGGTGTGTACATGTGTGTGTGTACATATTTTGCTTGCACAGTTGTAAGAGGGATTAATGATGTTTGTTCTACTACTCCTTCACTCTGCTCTGCTGGTTTTTGGCACCCGACACCAAACCGCAGATTGATGTTTTGCCACCAAAAGGTTGCAACTTATTTTAGAAATGCACTGGCAGCGTGTCCGCCCGTATCCACTAAGCTATCTTAATTCCCAACACTGTACGTCAGTGTGAATCCAGCCGATGCGAGCGCATGCCTCTGCGTGCCTGTGTCTGTGTACAGTGAGCTTCATATTACAGAATCAGGCTTAATGTGTGTGTGTCTGTATGTGTGTGTTTCAGTACTCATACATAATGCAGACCTCACACAGTGCTCCGTTATTCATAATCTTATTAGCCAGCAAGCCACTAATTTGATGTCAATTCATGATAATACAATCTACACGGCCAGACGTTTCACTTAGGCTTTACAGCACTAGCATCCTTTTCATATTCCAGTTGAACAGGCATTAAGTTGTACTGCTGTGTGTGTTTGTGTGCGCACGCAAGAAAGAGATGAAGGCCAAATAGCAGCAGCTGGACCGGCCTGCAGTAGCTGCTTCATTGTAATTGTTAGGGACAAGAGACACAGTTCAATGTCCATGAGAATATGAACATATTTAACAATTAATAGGGCAAAGTGACTCTTTCTACATTTACATGCACATTAGTATCCCGGTTTTCAGTCTTATTCTAGTTAAGATTGTTTTCGGGATACGTTGTTTACATGGAACTCGATAAACCTGTTTTTCCATGTATACATAATCATAACAATATCCAGATTTCTGGTTGTCTTGATTCCTGCCATTCATTTGTGCACAGAATGAGTTACCTCCAACAATGGAAAATGAATACAGTTAGGTTTCTGGCTATTTGAACTGTGCTGGCTTCTCTATCAAGTGACAGCAAAACAAGAGCAACGACTCATAATCTGTATTATGGATGTCAGACTTTGCTGTTATTCCAGCACGTTGACCTGATGCAGAAGGTCAAGTGATGCTAAAGATCACTCATCCACCCAGCTGAATGCTCCATCATGAGACTGGTGCTGCCTAGTGGCGGCACAGTGGCGCTGCAGGTCAACTCACTGACCATTAATCGTATTTGTCTAATCTGCTTAGTCAGGCAGCTGCTGGCACTGTGATACATTACTTCCACCGATTTAAAACGACCAGTATAAATTGGGTATCTGACGCTCTACATACACTGCTCAGTAAACTATGAACTGTCTCACATTCAGCTTCTGAACATATCTTCCACTGTCACCAGCAGGTTGCCTCCTTTCTTTCTGCCCATGATTTGTCTGTAGTGATTTAAAAGTGTTGCCTTGTTGAGATTCTTTACTGTCAGCTGCAGGTGAGCCCTAAATCAGCACACACACACACACAAACACCAGCTAGGCAGGTGACCTGTGTAGCTGAGAATCAGTTATTTCAGGCTTTTTTTCACTTGTGGTCAGATTTTAAACTGTGCAGTGGCAAGCTCTTTGTCCA